ATTTTTAACCGTTTAATTAGTTTGTCGTACTTAGGGCCTCAGCATATAAAACGAAAAGGGGGAACGATGACTGATTCTCCGCGGTCTGGAGTTGCATCGCTTTGCGCAAAATTCATCATGGATTTTCTTAGAAACCTGATAAAGGAACCATTTTTTAAAATAGAGGTGAGATAAACATTATTCGACATGAGCCGGGGAAAAGTAAGAAATGTTACGAATCTAGTCGAGAACTCGACAGCCAGTTGCAGAGTTCATGGCCTTCATTTATTTCTCGTATCGAGACACTATGGGGGAGAGAGGTTTAACGAAATCGCTTAGAGTCAGTGAGCCACAGATGAAGCGACCAAAACATGTCCACCTACCGTTTTTAGGAGGCGTTCAACTACTGCAAGTTAGCGGCCGTTTTCTTCCTTTCACCTGTGTGGTTGAGACACTTCAACGAGTGAACCCCAAGATACTAGAATATTGAAAAGTGTTTCGACAAAGAAAAGAGACATCGAAATGAGTATATCTGGTTTTTGCGTCATCAATCCACCGTACCCGAATTTTATTTGTTGGCGCGTCCGAGACTTAAGCCCTGAACTTGTAAATCACGGAGAATTTAAATCCACTACGCTAACCACCCGCAATACCGGACTCTTCCTCTCTTCGACCTACAGGTCGTACCCGCTGCCCCAATCGTTAAACATTGCATGGTAAAAAACAAGGAGTGAGACCGACATTGGAAAAATCTGACGGGCTTTTGAAATTGTCACGATCTGCTAAATGTCGTGGTTTGGAAGGTTACCAGCTGACTGAATGACTAATTTCTCGTGTTCTTTATTTTGTGTGCACGCGGGGTGGTTGGCAGGAGCCCTGAGTGTCCGGCTCTACAGCTCCTCCTTAATGAAAACTCTATGGCGCTCTCATGAAAGTGAAATCCCCCTCCCCTATCTGACACTCATTGTGGGGATTAGGTCGTGTGTGAGATGAGTGGACGGACCGCTTAGCCTAGTCAGACACTGCGCCCGAACATACCTCCCGTCGTCCTGACATTGTCTTGTCATCAGAGCCTGGTGCGGGGGGGAGGAGGAGAGAGTTCGGAAGACATCACGCAAGTCAATCTTATTACGAAATAATTCGCGCGCAAGTCGTCGATACTGCGGCTGCTACGTGGATGTCGTCGATTGCGACGGTCGAAATACCGTCACCAATTCCTGTCCAGACTTGTTAGTGAATTAAAAAGTGGGTTGGAAGGTCGGCGACTTGACGCAGATCAAGAAATGGAGAAATCACGAATGTTCCTCTGGAGCATGAAGTTAAAGTTTTATTGGAGGCAGTGATGAGCTTGTCAAATGTCAAGGCGAATTTGCTGGAATGACAACGAGACCCTCTGGTGTTACAATTTTTAAATGTTCGTTATGATGGACGTATAAATTAGAAGTCTTAGAAGAAGATGCAGCCACTTTCGTGGATGGTATGGAATTTACATGGAGTCAAGTATGGTCGCCGACAAACAAAATTTATCGAGAGCTCCCGAAAACACAAAAATAAGGATATAGTTACTCCTCGCGGTCGTAAATTGCCGTCAGAATTTCATGGAAATGCCTCCAATTAAGTATGGCGTCGCCTAATTTCCGACGGCTGCATATTTCTGATCCACTGCTGTATTGCCAGATAATCCTGATCATGTTAAAAAACATGATTTGAGGATGTAAGTAAATCGTGAATCATAGAACGCATTTGTTAACGGTGCTTACAATGCTTACTGTGTTTGTTTCAGTAGAGCTATTTTTCTTCAATCGCAAAATAGTTTTGGTGACCAGTATTCGTGCAAATCACGGTAACCGCAAGTATACTTGGATATTACTAATTTTGGTTAAATCTGGCGAAAAACTTCAGATGCGCACCACGGCCCCTTAATTTTCCGCTTTGTTTCTGTTGTAAAGTACCCGTTATTTCCTTTATCGCTTATTTCAGGCCAAAACGAGTTTTGAGAAAGGGACGCGATGATGTAATTGCCTCCTTAAGGTAACGTTGAAAATACAAAATATTTGCACTTGGTCGCCTTGAAACCTAAATAATGTGACTTTGTCTAAATTCTCTGTCTGTAAAAATCTCTCCTTTTGTAAAGCTACAAAGTGCTTTTTGTGACGCGTTGATAGAAAGCTATATGGCTTCCACCTCTTTGCTGAGAATTTAATTACCGATAATTTATTTGTGCCGACAACTTCTCCCTACGTTAACATCCGCAAAAGGCACATTTCAGATGCATTCCGTTATAAGCTATTGATATCCATGCCGAATCTTAGTTTTATGAGTTTGGAGAGTTAAAACCGACAGGGCAACGGGCTCATGGCCCGGTGGGTAGAGCCGTGGACTTCTAAACCAACAGGTCGCGAGTTCGAGGCTCGGGTGCTCCACACTTCGGGCTTGGGTATGGCTGGCTGACGACGGCTAATAAGCCAGAAATGGCCATTCCAGTCTCCTTTGTCTTTGTCGGTAATACTATTCTGCCTATATATCATGCGCCGCTGTGCGGCTGCTGGTTGGGCTCGAGAGAGAGCCCTTAAGGCACAACGGAACGAGTGAGTTCTGTATGAACGATCGGTGAGCGCCCCCTACTATTCTTTTTACTGCGTCTATCTCACATAGGCTTCTATTTCCTGAGAACCAGCAGCGCTGTATTTAAGGCTATAATGAATGCCCTCAAAGAGCGCCCTCCTTCCATCAACCGAAACTGTTACGCCTAGAAAATGCTAGATGATCTTACTTATTGCATTATTCACCTTCTCAGCATCTTTGTAGTTATTTCACTAGCACCTTCCACCGTGAGGAACCAGATCATGACATTGTCCTGCGCACCTAAATATCAATTCGTCAAAAGGTGCGTAGAAACCCTGATGATCAACAAACGTTTCAGTCACATCATAGTTATCAGAGGAAATATTTTTTCCCGTTGTCATAATTAGGACAAGATGAAATCTTCCAAGGTTACCAGTACTCGGTTGCTATTGTATCAGGTTTGCATTCCAAATTTAAAAAATATTTATGTGAGCTTGTTCAAAATATCCTTAAGATATTTTTAGTTCTTTCGGTAGAAGATCAAAACCTCGACAGGCTGCCGAGCTAAAAAACTATGCTCGGCATTTGTAAAGTAATTGGAAGACGGATAAAGGATGTTAAAAGCAGATGTTTGGTCAGCCAATGATCTTCAGCAGGTAACATTATAACACTAACGTTTGAAGTCGCGTCTAGCTGGTTGTGCAGCCTGGAGCACTAAGAAATTCGCAGACTGTACCTGTTTAGAGGGCGTACTGGAGTCCTTACCGTCTAACTGAACTCGCCCCGTAACCCGTAAGTCAATAAATCTCATGCGTGGGGATTAATTCAGGGATAAACTAAACTTTAGTTACAATAGTAAATTTTCTCGAACACCAGGCGGGCTATGGCCATTTAACGAGTGTGGATGAATTAGAAGTGACCGCCTTAGCATCCGCTTTGAAAGGAAAGTTAGTTTTTGGTTAACCACCTCCAGACCGACTACTTTTAAGTGCAGTGGAGTTTATTAATTTAATAGACATGGCGATGTTTGACTGGGCGTGTCTATTCACCCCAAAGGGACTCCGTATTTCAGCTTAATTTTTTGCGGATCCTAGGCAACATTTGTAGGTGAATTTCGCCATTGCTGACCGCTCGTTGCCCCGTAGTCAGCTGCAAGGTTTCCAGATCGAGGTATCTAAAGAAAGAGTATGTTTTCATCCGTCAATAAAGACACTTTGACTAGCTGACGGCCCCCTCTAGGTCGATTTTTTTCTTGTCAGATCAAATCAAATAGGAGTATTTGGAGTGGAGGGCAGAAGTACTTAAAAACGGTATTTAAAAATATACAAGCCTGCATGAAGGGCAGTTAAGCCGAAAGGATCTACAGGGGATTTCAGCATGCAGAATGCTTTAGTCTGATAGTGAAATAGGAGTGGTAAGGAGCTGGAGAACTCGCCAAATAACAGTGAACAACACATGGGCGGCGCTTGTACACATTAAGTTCAGCGATGTTCAAGTAAATGTAAACAGAATGGGTTACTGAAATTAGAATAGTAGCATATCATCGGTTCTTAAAGTGGCCCACTAGATGCGGTTTGGGGAGTTCTGGATGACCTGTAACAGGTGGGAATCCAGGCAAACTCGCTTTTGTGGAATGTACGAAACGCTTCGGTAAAGAACTCCACTGTTGAAAAACCCATTGGTAAAAAACGAAGGTACGCTGATTGGTGCGGTAAGTTGGAAGTCTTGACGTCGAAGGCTCGTTTTCTACAGCCTGTACTATGCGTGGTCACCACAGTAGTTTGGTACCATTTTCCCGCACCCAACACGACACTTATTAGTCCTTACTGGGCGCGTTATCTCGGACGTGCCTGTAACCTCAAATGCCGTAGGTATCAAATGGAACAGTAAAGCCGCCTAAAAGTTATAGCAACCATAGCCGTCACCTGCCAAAGATTCACCGAAAACATAGGGGACCACCCATATAACACGAAGGCGATAGACAGAGTCTATCTGCCAAATTAAGAAAACATTCAGGAAAAGTTCTCGATGGTATTTCAAATGAAAAATATTACCCAGATTACGAAACCGACTATCAGGATCATACCAGGAAAAGGCCAGCGAGTGTTTTATGGGCTGCATCCCTACCCAAGCAGTTCGTTTTCTGAAACCTATATTTACGGCCGTTGATAACACCTCATTACGGCGTTTGCCTCTAATTACCAATAATTATCGTAGGCAGTTAAAATTGCGTAGTAGAAAGACAAGATTTAATTTATATAACAAATAGCAAGTTGTGAGTTATCGTCACACCAGAGAAACCGCGCAGGACATTAAGTCGCGTCTTACGAAGTAAATATGTTAATAAATGCCTAGCGGGTTCAGTTGAGGGAGAGAGTCCGCTTGCCTTCTTCGCGACTTCAAAGGCTCCCACCATCGGAAAGAAGTTGTTGCCATAAGTGGGGGTCGAGGAGGACTTAGTCGTCAGTGATTTCAGATGCAGCGGCAGCCGTCCTTCTTTGAGGTCGAGACGTTTGATCACCATTGGTCCCTCTGTTGTCATGCGCTCCCATGGTCTCCCGATAATCCATCAAACTCCTCGATCTGCTTGAGTGTTTAGACAAAATAATTACCTTTCAGGCGTCTAGAGAGGAAAACTTTTAATAGAAACTCAGATCGACTCTAAAGCTGAGGAGATATTATCTAGACCTCAAACACGTAAATCCAGTCCATTAGTGTTTTTGACTATGCTCACAGCAAGGTACAGCAACAGATCTAGGTAAGAGAACGAAGGTGTCTTTGATTAGGAAGTTCTAATTCCCGATATAGTCTGCGCCGTTGAAAACAATTTTTGCCCAGTTATTCTGCAAAGCATAATAGCGTTCACATTAAATACCTGAAATAAATATAGCAGTCTTTGTCATGAGAAAAGTAAAAAAACCCAACGGTTTCTCCTTGTTTTTCTAATTATTTTCCGATTTAATCTTTACTAAAAGTTGTTCGCATTACATGAGACCATGCAAGAAAGTTTAACAGCCACAAAACAGCAGGTGTCCAGCGATTTAAAAACAGCTTTTACATTACCCGCAATGTCCAAGTACTCGGATGGTCATACAGGACGCAAACAATTAAAGACGAGTGACTCTCAAATAATGAAAACTCCACTACAATGATGACGATGAAAACAAAACGCATTACCGTGTTCTGGAAATTAAACGTAGCTAACGCTGGCAGCTTAAGCAGACTTTGCATGAGGAGTGGCTATTTTTTTAAAATCCGTTCGCTCCCTTATCAGCTCGCCTAATTTAAATTAAAAACAAATATCAGGAGCAGGGGATCGGAGAACTGTGGTGACTCCCCTGTACATTTCTGGTTTGCCCCCAATCGGCAGTCAGAGGTTAACAATAAGTCCAGGTTCAGAAGGTCTGATATTTGAACATAAGTCATTTGCATCGAGGAGAGGGCCGCGAATTAATGTCCCAACAACTGATCCGTGATCCTGTGAAAGTACACGCACTGGTGGCAATCTGTATCGATCTGACCTGGTTGTCGGACGACTCACCTTCTCCACACTTCTGTGACACCTCGGCCAATAGAGGTGATAACCTTTAGCTGTTTCAGCGAAACATGCATTTTGGAAGGGTTTCTGATGAATGGGTAGTACTTAGTTAAGTATTAAGTACTTTGAATAGTCAGTAAGGGAACTTACTAAACACCAGTCGACGATTTCCTCTGAGAGAAACGATTAGAGTCGAATACGGCCTCTGGGAAAGTTAATCTCAGAATATGAAAAAAAATAACTGTGCAGTTTGACCTGTAGGACGTGTCGAACTCAAGAAACCGTGACTACAACTGAGGCCGCAAAAGTGCTCAGCAAAAATCTACTTGGAGGCTGTCTCATGTTTAACGGTCTCCGCGGCTTCAGTCGTCATTTACTCTTCGAGTTCATTGACACACACCTTCCTCCTTTAATGGGGGAGCTTAACTTTACTTTTGTGAAATATTTTGCTGGTTTCGTTGCTAATTTGTGTTATTTAATAGCGCTCCAACGACGACTACCGCTTATGCCGAAACCAAAAAATGCGGAAGATGCAATTGCATTAGTCTTTGGACCGATAGCGTCTACGGACTTATTAGAAATATTTTTATCTAAAACTACAGGCCCACTGTGTCTCAATCTCCCTCTCTCTATATATACTTAAAGGCATGTTGCCTTTCGACGGAGAGCCCTATCGGCTATGCGTGATTCAGCACACACAGGAAATAGTCACTACCTACTGAATTTCTGCGTTCGCAGGAATCAGATCGCACCTTCTCTGAAATATTGCAAGATTCAGAATTTTCGTCCTTAATCGTAAGGTCAGTTCGTCCGTTGAGCGCTTACTGTTGTAAGGTGTGGATTATCTGCAATTTCAATATCTCCCTTCTTTGCTGCGCATTTAAAGAAAAAAGTATTAATGGCTTCGCTTGTCCCTAAGGCCATAAAACCACATGAAATGCGGTATCTCTAAAGAACCATATTTTATCGCCCTCACAAACAGCCTTTTCAGAGATCACACATTTTTGAAGTAGATTGACATTAAATCACCCCGCGGTTTCATGCCACAGTAACAAACAGGCAGATATTTTTATACGGAATCCTTATGCGCTTTTAAGTGCATACAGTCCTTTTCTTCAAATAGGGTGTTCCATAAAAAAGTTGCACATTCTTCCAGGACATCATGATTGAATATATGCGATATGCGCACAGAAATTCAACCGGAACACATTTATTACCTAGATGGTAAGATTTTGCAAGCACTACTTATACAAGTGGGTGGGAACTTACTTAAAAGCCAACGCGAATTTTAAGGAGAAGCGGGGTGAGAAAAAGGCTCGTGATAATGGGCATTACGGTCTCACCTGAGTAGTCGTTCCTGTTTAGAATCATCTGCACAACACAATGCTAGCTATCTTTGCCATAAATGCAGCCTAAAATGACCATTTCACTCATGCTTCTCCCTTTGCTGGGTACGTTTAAGAGAAGTCACGGACTCTTGTCATTTACAGGTAAATCTGGCCGTTTGTATAAGTGAGCAGAAGTCGATGCGAATTGGACCGTTTTGCGCAATTCCTTTGTCTAGCCCTTTCTTTCGCTTCAGGCAATATGTTCATAAACCATACGCATCAGCAGCGTTTGGGAGGGACGCGCCTCGAGTGTTCCACACTTCGGGGTTGGGTATGACTGGCTGATGAAGGCTAATAAGCCAGAAATGGCCATTCCAGTCTCCCTTGCCTTTGTCGGTAATAACATACTGCCTATATCGTGCGCCGCCGTGCGGCTGCTGGTTGGGCTCGAGAAAGAGCCCGTATGGCACATCGAAACGAGTGAGTTCCGTAAGAACGATCGGTGAGCGCCCCCTACCATTGTACATTCCCCATCGAAAACCGACAGGGTAACGGACTCGTGGCTCAGTGGTTAGAGATGTGGACTTCTAACAAACAGGTCGCGGGTTCGAGCCTCGAGTGTTCCACACTTCGTGGTTGGGCATGACCGGCTGATGCAGCTAATAAGCCAGAAATGGCCATTCCAATCTCCCATGTCTTTGTCGGTACTAACATACTGCCTAGGGTCTTAAATCTCCAGGTCTGCTGACTAAGACCTAACTGACAGTAGATAACGCAGGTGGGCCTCTGCGCTGAAGGCATGTGCAGACATCAGGCACGCGCCATCGGGTCGCCGAAAACGCCGAGTCACCGGTGCAACTGGCCAGCTCTGAGGGGGGTGCGTTAGCGGCGAGTCCCAGGAATGGTGATAATTAGTCAGCACAGTGTGACAAGACGGCTCTCTGCAGAACCCCCCCCCCCCTCCTCTGACCTTCCAAGCATTCAACTAATCTCAGCTAGCAGGGTTGCGTTTCAACCTGCATGAGCTTCCGTGAGCACGAGTTGGGCTGGTCAAAACTTGCGAGCACAACTCACATCGATTTGGTGCGACATGTGTGAAGTGTGTGTGTAAAACAAACGGCGTCCATTTCACAGCATGAGTCATGGGTGTCTGAGTTTTTGCTCCGGTAACAAACCGTGCTCTCACATGGCTGAACCCCTTGAAGATTTCTCACGAAAAGTTTTACCGATTTAAATTGGACAGGAGACTTGGATATAAAAACGCAAATGAGATTTTAGATATTGCATCTTCTTTTATTTCCTCAGAAACCAACAACATCTTGGAGTAAATCAGTCCCATTGGGAATTATAGACTGACATTTCATATGAACAGTTATGCCGACGTCCATCAGCTACTGGGTAATAACCGCGTAATTCTCCTAAACTGCCAATAAGCAGTCAACCTTTGCAAGTAAATCGACTTCATTGGAATAAAAATGGTCTAGGGAAATTGCGTAGCATACCAATTTGCTGATAAAAGCCTGCATGCAAGAATTCTATGATGTGAACTAGGCAAGAACTGCAGGGAAAAAGAACTGTTGGCAACAGTCGGAAGATGGCACCCAAAAAATCCGCTTAACCAAAGCAGCCTGTCTTACTGGACAGGTGGTAATAGGGGTTTTATGGGTGGTGGCTGGTCGGGATGTACGATACTAGCCGATAGAAAGCCTTATTTGAACAGGAGAATGATCGAAGTTGGCCCGCTGTCCGCCCCGTTATTACAAAATGGGTCGCCAAAGGCAGTATAGTGGTAACGGACGTGTGGAAGGCGTATAGTCGTCTTCCCTCAGAAGGTTATCTACATTTCTCTGTTAACCACTCAAAGAACTTCAAGGACCCTACCATTGGACGGCACACCACTGCCATCGAGGCATACTGGAGTAGACTGAAAAGGAAACTCCACGAGGGAGTCCCTGTATGTGGTCGAGCTGTTTGGGCTCACATAGACGAAGTACAGTATCGTCTTTGGTTTGGCCTCAATTTCATGTCTTTGACAGATGCCTGGGAACTGTTCCTGTCCCATGCTGTGTAGACTTATCCTATTTAAAAGTGTTTTTGTCTTGTAATAAAACTGCCATAATGCGAATGTATGTGGTATATTCAGGCGTACGTGTGTAACGATGGGGAAGGTTGGGTACCAGCGACCATCGTCCATGTAACCTCCTGCGATGTTCGTTCGGCCAGCCCATGTTAGGCCGTCTCGGGATTTCCAAGTAGCGCGTGAAAGCAGGCCTGCAAACGCTGATATAGCCTGAAGGCGTTTGAGTCCACTGTTAAAGGTATTATTTCTAGGTGACGGATTTTTTGTGGGCCATCTCCCGATTGTTACCGAACTGTTTTATAATGCGATTTTTAAATATGCTCAGGGAGAACGATATTTTTGTGTCCAGTTACCCTGGAGGCCGGTAAGGACTGCAGGAATAGCCCGTTTTGCCATTTTTGCCGTTGCCAGACTGCAAGACTTGAGGTATGAACCCAGAGCAGTCGTCGTCCAACTACTATTGGAATAAAACGCTCAAACTGTTGAACTACGATCTCACATTCCGTCTGCTGCTCTCGGGGCTATTCAAAGTCGCACGGGGTGTTGCTTCGGCGGAGGAACATGCTAGTTTTACTTCGAAGCTGGAGTCCTCGCAGGCGGTTGTGCTGACCACTTCTCGCCATGCTTTGTCAGTGAGGACTTTAGTTTGCACATCCAATCCAAAATAAGAAGACCATGTTCCAGTTCGCAGTCAGATCATGGTAGCGCCATTTTTAGATGGTACTAATTTTAAAGTTGTTTTTGCAGGAATTCTTCAACCCTACACCTCTGGTATTCGAGCTGAAGAGTAATGAAACGAGTGGCCGCTGCGCTGGGAGAAATCAGTTCTACAGATATGATATGGAGACCGCTCCTCAAACTAGAAATTTTGTGTAAAATTGCTTGCTACTTTAACGGGCTTAAAGGAAAACGGTTTGGCTACAGACAAACATGTACCAAGGAGGCTTCCCGAAGGCTGAGAGTGGCCTGTTGGAAACTGTACGTCAGGCAGAGATCGCTGACTAATGCCAAATTAAACGTACTTGAAAGGGCAACGTTCGGGCCTGATCACATCCGTTGTTGACGACAATGCAGACGGTTGGGAAGTCTGGTAGTGAACACTTGATGTATATCTGGCGAGGCCTCTAGCACATTCCACGTCGTATGCGGCTGTAGACAAGGAGCCCTTAAAGACGTGGAAAAGGCAGCTGGCTAGGTGATTGCTTTCATAAATAACCCAAACAAACATCCTCCATGTATAGCTGTAACCGTAAATGGTGAAATATACAGTGCAATAAGAAAAGTGTTGAAAATGAACTTCCAAAAGGACAAGCACTGCAACCGTAAGCGCATTTCGGAGAGGTTTCTATAAATCCGGTAAGTAAGAATGACGCGGAATTCGAGCAACTATTGGCAGGCGAACCAAGACGCATGCTGACTCACGCAGCGCTGCGTAAATGCAAGCATTATTTGGGGAACATATGATATTTTGGTATACTTTCTAGCAGATGGATTATGAAACGAAGGCTGAGGAATACACTTGTAGAACCGATGGCGTCTTTGGCTGTAGAATGCTGCAATAAAACGCCTCAGATGGACCTGATCACTTTAGAGTGGGACTCTAAGGTCAAGTATTGCTTGCATTTCAACAAAGACATCAGACGGTCATTAAAGAAATTAGTAATATCCCAGGAATTCAGTAAGGCCAGTGAATTTTTCTCGTTGAATCATTATGTTTTCCTTAAGATTACAACTAATCTGCGGAGATGTCATTAACTTAAAGAATTTCTTTTCATTCACAAGGCATTTCTGCAAAGCCACTTACTCGCTTTCACATAACACCTTTAGTTCTTACATCTAATCAATCTCCTCAGTATAACTTTTGTAACCTCCAGTTTGGTAAGGTGGCCGCTCTCTGATAGTCAGATTTACTTCATTTGAACAAATGATTTTGTTTTTTCCTCTTTCTCTCTCAACGTGCGTATGTGACATTTTCATAAGAAGCCATGAAATGTAACTTTTCCATCGCCTATGTATTTCGAACTATAATAACACACACACATTTATAGGAATACATGGAGGCCTGCTTCAGCTTCTCGTTTTCCAAGCTACATATGCCGAGTTTCGGATCTGCCAATAACAACACATACATACTTCCTCTTTTTATGCGGCCATCATTTTCAATCAGCCTCAAGGGACCAGAAAGGGGTGTAATTAGAACGGACATTTTAAGCCTTTTTACCGGTTTGAGGAGAAGACTTAATTATGGGAGTTTCTTGCTTCCTGTCCCTTCATCTCAAAAAGTAGACCGAATTTCGCCGTTAAATTCGAAACAAGTTTAACGGTCCACCTTAGTTAGAGAGGTAAGACAGGGCTGGCGCGCAGTTAAACCGAAGCAGCCGCGGCTTCTAGGCAGCTCATCAGGGAGTGAGGTGATTTCTGTGGTGGCGGATGCTACATGAAATGGTAACCGGAATTCTGAAATGTGCATTCGATTCAAAAAGTTTCTTAAATAAAGTTGTAATATTATGTACCTTGCAGCATAATCCCAAGGTATTTCAGTCACGGCAGAATACCCGCTTCTAAATATGCTTCTTTTCAGTCGTATGCATAAACTACACTCTGTAAAAAATGATTACTTATGTAATATAGATTTTTCGAATTGATTTTCATTGTCCTTATGAAATCAACTATATTTTACACGAAACATGCACAAAATAATCTTTTTCGTACTCATTTAGTAGAAAACCAATTATAAAGTCTTTTAAGATCCTGGAATGTTCAATCGTGCAGCATTGCATTGGAACGTTTACTGATGCTGCCTATAAGGAGGACAAAGTGGGTTGCATCTATTACAAAATTCTATGAGCCCTGTAGGAGATATTCTTAATAACATATAGAAATAGATAACTATCCGTATGCTGAAAGTATGCATCTTGTAGTTTGGAAACCCTGAATGTAAGTTTGACGGCAAGTTGATTTCAGTATTGTTCGGGAATAGCAAAAGTTTTCTTATAACCGAACGATACTCTTCTTTCAGGCGTATAACTCGAAGTAGACGGGCATTGCTATAAAATGAGTACGAAAAAGAATATTTTGTGTGTTTTTTAAAAAATCGACTTGAATTTATGGGGCCACCGACGATCTATGGGAAAAGTGCGTGCCACTTAAGTTGTCATTTTTTACAGACTGTAGTCTCTGCAGGCGACAGGAAAGAAGCTCTTTTGAAAGCCGGCATCCTGGCGTGACCAAAACATCATGGGATTAGGCTGCAATGTAATTACTATTACAGCTCTACAAAAGCGATCTTTTCAAATTGAATACACACTTCAAAACCTTGGTTATCATTCCATGAGATAACAGACCTATTAAATGCTAAAGATAAGTTTCATGATCCAACCTCAAGAAAAGAAGAAATATACCTGATGTGGTTTATTGAAACAGAGACCCAGCAATTGGTCACAGAGTCGGCTGTAATGTAGAAACGATTGAGGAAAACGATCTTCAGCTTTGTCGAAAAGCCATACGTGCCGACCCCAGGACCGATGAGGGGATATGAATCGAAATTCAAAGTGTTACTTACTGAGCCATAAGTCCAGGTTTGGCTGACTGTGACCTTCCTGATCGTCTAACAGAGCCTTAGTACTGCGTTCAGGACAAACTATGTTGACATATTCTATCCTGCGAACAGCGCATGTCGACTTGAGGTACTCTTGCGCAATACGAGTATAACCGGTCATAGACAAAAACATCGGATCCGTAGGTCACTGGTGTTGGAATCTAGTTAACATCGAACTCGCTATTCGCGGTACACGTCTCAAACAGCGTCGGAGATTGAAAGTGCAAAATAAAACAGGGTGGTTATTTCTATCTCTTGGCTTCTTTTGGGACATTTTCGACCACGAATTTGTATACAGTAGCTGCTTAAAATATGACAGTGCCGACTAGAACACAAACAAGAAATTCAAATGAGCAAGGCCAGATAGGATGACAAGCTGCGGAGGGAGGCTTGTTTTCTAATTAAGGCACATAACACTACCTTGGTGACCTTCAAGTGGTGGTTGGGATTAGAATCCACAGGAAGACGTTCGCCGTTGCTGCAAATATCTGGCAAATTGACCAAGGCTCTGGTGGTTATGCGATCACCAAACTTTGCTGTCGGACGGGAAACAGGTACGCTGCTGCCGTCGATAGGAAAATCTGTTTCGAACGGTGCCAGGGTAGAGACCTCTGTCCCCATTGGGGCCGGAGGAGTCCTGTTGTCTAATCGGGTGCCTGCGACGGTCGTCCCCGGTGGCGCTGCTAACGACGACGATGGAGGAGGAGGATCCCACAGAGCCGATCGTTTCGCATCGGCAGTTGTACAACTTCTGGTGAGTAGTCGATGGCCAGTTTTTACTGGACAAGACCGAACCAGTGAGCCGCTTGTTCTGTCACTGTTGATTGAGCCTCTGCGTGGTTCCACCTGTGAGTGAGTGCAGAGCATGACATAGAGTTGTCTGGAATAATCGCCAATCAAAATGTGGCCTTGGATTGCACAGAAAAAGGGTGCACGATGACGCTTCCAGCTTTTTGCAAGTGTACGAGACAAAACTGGAGAGGAGGAAGAAAGACCAAGTTTGTGCTAACGAGCTAGCTTTTAAAGAGAAGGCTAACGCATCAGCATCAAGGAGTGTATCGTAACTGCGAAGATGGAAGCAGGAAATTGCGTTTTAGACAATAAAGAACGGCAGAGTTAATGTTGGAAATTTAAAAGCAAATGAGCGTCTTCACAAAAAGTTGTATTTTGGCAGTAAACAACGCTTGTCAAAGAGAGAAATTTTAATTAAACGATTTTCGAGAGTATTCCAAAAAATTCAGAATGGAAGTTATGAAAGTGTGCTAAATACATACAACTATTCACAGTCAGGGCATCTGACGCCATGCGCTGAACAGTAGGGGTCCACAACGCCCAAAGGTGACTTTCATTTCCACATACGCGTGAGAAAAATGGCAAGTTAAATGTGTGATTTTATTCAAGTCCCTGTTATGATAGGGAAAACTGGATTCCCAGACAATCTGGGCGAAGAGGCTATCAACAATCCTTTTGAATCAATAGTACATAACGATATCGCATATTTCCAAAAAGTAGGATTCCTTGATGCAAAAAATTCATGCTGGACTTTCGAATTTCGCCGGATTAGTGAATAAGGGAAGCGTGCGAAGTCTTAATTAGCACAGTGAATGGATGTGGAGGACGGATTGAAAACGCGTTTTGTCACGGACTGCCGACGACTGACAAGCCAGAAAAGCCGGTCCCAGTGAACCGGCAGGTGTCAGCAACGGTTTTACAGTATTACTTGGTAGTCCCTATGCTGCAGAATGGATGTATCTGACTGGCCAGGGGAGTGCGAAGGGATCGATGACAAGCAGGGAGGTTGTAACTGACCTGAACTAGAGCAACAGACGACGAACGTAGCCAGTGTGTCGGTCTTTTACTTCACATGAACCAGACTTCAATAAATTCCATCCCTCATCGACATGCAGGCCACCTGAAGTCAACGCAACACGACCTTCCATCCAGGCAACTGAGTCATCTCCTCCGTTGACAGTTTCCAAGACGACTTTTGCGCTTCCCGACAGTTTAAATGCTTGTCGAACTCATCTTAGTGAAGAATTTGGACATTAGACCGACCGTCATGAAGTATACGACACAACTGTTAGCGTAAAGAAAGATATGCTACAAAACTTCCACAACTTGTTTAACGTCCTCTTCCCTGATATAAAATTCCCGAAGCAAGAAGAGCATGACTAGCGGTTTCTCTTCCTTGATGTGCTCATCAGACGAAACCTTAACGGAGCAACTTCAACCGTCGGTGTGTAGAAAGGCAACGAACACCATACAGCTTCTAAGTTTTCACAGTAACCATCCGGTGGCTCAGAAATGAAGCTGTATGAAAAACGCTCTTCAAACAGATTTAGATACGTTGCTGCAAACCGGAAGGGAAAGCCCGTGAGGCTCATTATCTCTACGACCAGGTTATACGAGATGACTATCCGAGGGTATTTATAAGTTGCCGCCTATGCCGTCGTCCCCAGAGGACCCAAACGTAACCCCGCCAAAGGCATGGCATTCTCTGTCATAAATCAGGAACGTTTCGAAAGCGACCAAGCAAACTGCCGCAGAATTGGGCGTTGGAATTGCACACCGGCCCAAAGCCACCAGGAGCAGCAAGGTAATGGAAACTAAAGACCGGTTAAATTCTCAGGAGCAATCTGGAGTAGTGTATCGCATGCCGTGTCAAAACTGTCCTTGTAACTACACAGGGCAGAGTAAACGCATGCTCGGATCGCGCATACATAAGCATAAGCTGGCTGTGCGGCGAGGCGACGACTTATCACAAGTGGCTGCCCACACCTACACTGAGTGACCGGTCTAATGAAATGTTGGCCAAAATTCTGAGATGCGTTTTCGATTAGGAAGGCTTACTTAATTGGGGTTGTAACATTGATTATCCCGCGGCATAATCCTGTGGTATTTCTGACTCGGTAGGATGTCGGTTTTTAAATGCACTTCTTATCGATCTCCTGTAGAAACTGTACTCGATAAAAAATGACTACTTAGGTGACATGCATTTTTTACGTTGATTTTCGATGGTCTTGTAAATTCAAATATATTTTATGAAAAACATTAACCAAAATAGTATTTCCTTCACTCGTTTGATAGAGAATCACGTCATCTTCCTATTTTATACTCGAAGAAAGAGTATAATTGGGTTTTAGAACAGTTTTCTAATTCCGAATAATTTGGAGTCTGATCAGCCGTTGCATTAGCGTTTAGTGATTTCACTCTACAAGAGGCATACTTTCCGCTATACTGAGTCCATAAAATTTTGCAATGGATGCGGGATATGGTGTAAATTTCATGAGGATCAGTGGTAAACGGACAGGTACGATGCTGTATAAATGGACGGTCTTGAAAAATATTCTCATTAGAAATTTTCTAAAACCCAACTAAACTCTTTCTTCAACTATAAAATATGAAGATGACGTGATTCTCTATCAAACGAGTGAAAGAAATACTATTTTGGTTAATGTTTTTTTATAAAATACATTTGAATTTATAAGACCGTTGAAAATCAACGTTAAAAATGCATGTCACTTAAGTATTCATTTTTTTATTGAGTACAGTTTCTACAGGAGATTGAAAAGAAGTGCATTTAAAAGCCGACATCCTACCGAGTCAGAAATATCACAGGATTATGCCGCAGGATAATCCATATTACAACCTCATTTAAGTAAACTTTCCTAATCGAAAACTTATTTCAGAATTTTGGCCAACACTTCATTAGACCGGTCACTCACTCTAAGGAATGGGTCACGAGTCTAACTGTGCAGCCACCAAAATCGTCACCCAAGCCGTAAACGAAACAGGCCGAGAACTGATTGAAGTCTGCACCTTGGATGGGAACTCAGTCAATCAATCAATCGGTTTGATGCCGGAGTACAGAGCCCTGTGCAGTCACCTCCAGTCTTGTGCTATCGATCGATGATTGGCGTAATTGTTGCTTAATCTGTTGTTTTTATTACGATTGATAATGGACTCCTGCACGAGTCGGAAAGCTCAGGACAAGAAACATACTGTTCCGGTGCCAGACCGGTCTTCTTCTTCTTCACTTATACATACAACTGGAGCCCGACCCTGTTCATTCTGCTCTCTATCCATCCTCTGCTAGTTGCATGCCATGCCAACTCTAGATGAGATCAGACACAATGCTCCCGTCTCACGTTTGCCACATAATGAGGCGTGCCGAAACAGCACTGCATTTTTGGAAGTTAACGTAACAACAGTAAAGTAGGCTGCCATACGCAAAACACCGTACTTGTAGTCAGAAGTCATTTGCAGTCAGGGGGAAACAGCTGTTCATGGGAAAGAAAGCTAACTCACCTGTCGGGCGCAGCTCGAATTGCGTGGGTAAGAATGCATGGACGTCGTTTGTAGAACATAGTCGTCGTAATCATTCATCTCCTGCTCCGACACCCCGACAAAGCGAGTCCTCGGGAGCAAGGAGGTCGGTAAAGAGGACGGACGGTCGGCGTCTGCATCAAGTGTTAAATTGACATGGGGAAGGCAGTGCATGAGGGTTGGCCTCTGAGGCGGGCATCGTCGCAGAGCCAGACTGCCTTCGCCCACCTTGGCGGTAGCGACACAGGAGGCAGGTCGCATCTGCTCGTTTGCCTTTTTTCCCAACAAAAGTGCTTGCTGTGCGCCGTGTATGGCGTCTGACTTTAAAAGCGACCTTGGCTCCGTAAGTGTACTCATATGATTGTCGGAGGTATAGGAGCCGCCAAGCTCGGATTGCTAAAACGGAGGTTGAGAGAACAGGAGTTTTAGGCCCAGATGAGCCACCGACTTGGATAGTCAGGCGCAGTAAAAAAAACCCATAACTTGCACGCATTAGTTTAATCACTTTCAGCGACGAGGTACATTATCGGCCCGGACGTGAATTTATTTATAAGAAAGCAGGATTCAATCTTGTCCACTCCATCCATCTTCTTACATCCAACATGTTTCAATGACAACGCAAAGTAGAGGATACCGTAGGCGACCGTGGGCGCGGTGATCGGAAAGGCATAATAGTCCGTCTACCCATTTCATACATGTCGAGGTCCCCAAATCCACACGCACCAGGCTTCATTTGTAAGCTTCAGGAATCACGTACAGGAGACTTCCAGAGGAAGCGTATTAAGAAGGAGTCATTACAGTCTATTCCTTGTTCCAAAACGGGACCGAGTGATCCACCAACTGGTAACCGTACAGTACCTGAATTTAAGCCCGCCGGGACAATTTACATAGAGGCAGATTTGCTGTAGTGGAAAGTGCAGAGAGTCTCCGTAAAGACCAATGCGCCAAAATCGACTTCAGTACCCCCACCCTCCGAAATATGCCGGTGGCCTTGTCGAGCCTTTCGGAAATTGGACAGAGTGAGAGATATGGCGTGAACTACCCACCAACATTTGCCACACATATTTTCATCTCACCATTCTACACGAACAAGATTCACTAAGGGCACAAATACCACGTAACGGAGATGCACGCCACTTCACACACGACTTTTTGCAAGTCACAACGGCAAAGGTAAATTAAGGCAAATTAAATCACAAGATTGTTAAATGAGCAGGGTCTTATGCTTCACTGATAGTCGACGTGCGCACTTACGAAAACCATGTGGGTTATGCCTGCGATATGTGACCTAACACCTGAGCCCCCCCTCCAGTTTTCTTGACTCTCCTTGATACCGAGTCCATGTAAGCAGTGGGGAAGTCAAGGTGCGGTAGATGCTGCGCAAGTCTACTACCAATATAAACTAATTCATGCGCAAGTCACCGTGCCTACTGCACCTTGCCGTGTAGGGCACGGTGGACATCGTCGGAATCGAGGTCGAACTATCATGTAACTTAACTCTCTCATCCTGCTGTGGAGTACACGGTGGATCACGTCGGCAGCGGCGGTTGAGCCGTCGTGTGTGTGTGGGGATTGTGTGTAGTGCCGCGGACGGGGATCGTTTTGCGACGGTAAAATCGTTTCGGCTCTGTGAAAGCCGCTACTTGGTCTTTCCACAATAATTAGCCGACAGCATTCACCAAACTCACCGATTAGCCTTGCAAGGACTTCACTTTCGTTTCCAGTCCATTTTACTGAGCAAACTATCAGATACTCAGCGCCCCTACATACGGCACTCCCTTTACTCAGCCCTGTTCCCCCCCCCCCTCCCAAAATAGGAAATCTCGCAAAGACAGACAGCTACAGTAATTTCGTAAGTGACCCTGGCAAATCCCGGTCACTTTCCAAATGTGTCAGCGTCTCCGCCTGCTGTGAGATTTGGCGGGCGTTCCCCATTTGGTGGTGCACTCACCGCCTGTCGCAGCATTGGAAACCAGACATACGACTCTAAAAGAGTTGGCAATCGCATATGCACAGCAACCGTTAGGTGGCTTGGGGTAATTCAAGATGCGATCGAACGAACAACAAAAACAACTTTAATCTCTCTGTCCTTGCCTTTTTACAGCCTGGCAGATTGATCATTCCCGCTTCGGCAGTCAACAATGTATGTTCTCTCATGGGCAACCGAATGATCAACCGGCCAGATAGGTTGGGACAGTCCCGTCTGGCCGTTGACTGCGAGATGGACACCAGGGCTCTCACAGAGACTCGCTTCTCAGTGGAAGGACATCGGAAGGAAGCAGACACGATATGCACCCTCAGAAGCAGACGCGAAATGTCAGGGCAATGAGACGCTGGAGTCGCTTTCACCATCACAAACGGCATCGTGGGCAATTGTTGTGACTGACTCAGGACATCAGTGCTCGCCTAACCATTGTGAGGCTCTCACTCAGCAGAGACAAGTTCATCACTATTGTCAGAACCTAAGCCTCCGTACCCGAGTAAAAACTACCAGGAAACGATATTTAGGCCACCGGCTCACCACTGCCGGGCCAGTTGAAGGCAGCCGTGACTTGCGAGGCAGGCTTTTTCATAGCAAAACAGACTTATGAAGAATCCACCTCACTCCCACTACCAACGTCAAAGTTAGGATACAGAGTCAGCGAAACCTTGTTTTACAATCCTCGCATAGGGACGGCTGGAACTCACTGGGATCTTTAGGTTATGTAAAGGTAAAAAATACGCCAGCCTACCTCGCTGTGAGGGGACTTTTCGAATGCAGAACTGTGGCAGGAAGGGTCTTCTGTGTTTGTGCGAGAATGGAGTACTGCGGCCTCTAGAGACTGTCTGAGCTCCGAAAACGGCGAACCATGATCTATGACGTGAGCTGCTGTCGAAACCTCGATGTCGTCTGTCCCCGTGCCCATCGTGCGTTGACGTTCCGGCCGCGGCAGATCAAGGTGGGGATCCCCAGGTGGGTGCTGAAGGAGCAGCAGGGGAAAAAAGATAGTCGTGGACGGAGGAACGAGGAGGTAAAGCTAGCAAAATTGGCCTGTGGATGTTTTGCTGACTACAGAAACTCATTGACCAGTTGTCCTTCCAGTGTCTCCTATCTCTGTCGATTGCGGTTCTCATTTCGATGTGTCCGACAGCTCCGGCAAATCTCCAAACTCTGGCAACTCTGCATTTCGTCTTGAGATGGGATTAGATGGCCGTGAAGGGCACTATTAAGAGTGCAGTCAAAAGAACGCAAGTCCGGGGCCCGGACACTGCAGACCTCAGGATTCAGGTCACCTAGACCCGCGGTAGACGCATAATTTGCGGTCGCCGGCAATTAAGTCTCATGAAGGCATTCCAAACTCCCTTATTTCTGCTAGTAGTACTTCTGAACAACTTTTCACTCACCGTAGTGAGGAGGAAGACAGGACGTCATGTCAGCTCGCAGTTCAGTCTCTGAATTGAAGTATTCTTCAGCTCGCCAGTGCCAAACCGAAAGAAATAACCTTACGAGGTGGTTCCTTTTTGGGTAAGATCGCAGTTCATAGCCAGACACTGTGGGTCAATATTGTCGACGTACTTACTTGTAATCAGCTAGTGCGTTTCCCTTATCGAGGAAACGTGTTATCAATAGGTGTGTTTTTACTGAGTTAGGCAGGTCGCCTGTTTCGGTCAGGTTGTTGGGCTTAGTGAGGGTTAGGGTTAGGCTTACGATTAAGTTTAAGGGTTAGGGTATGCGTTTTGGGGTTAGGGTTAGGTTTTTGGATTAAGGATGGGGTTGGGGTTAGGAGTTTTGGGTTAGGGCTATGTTTCATGCTTAAGTTTAGGGTTACATTTTAGGGCTTAGAGTTAAGGTTAGGGGTAAGGTTTAAGATTAGGTTTAGGATTTTTGGTTAATGTTACGGCTTTAGGGTTAAGTTTATGGTTAGGCTTTAGGGTGAAGTTTAGTGGTGGGGTTCAGGGTATGCTTACGACTTTAGGGTTAAGGTTAGTGACAGGTTTCAGGGTTAGGGCTAGGTTTTAGTGTTGTTTTGCGGTTTAGCTTGGGGTTAGGCTTTAGGGTTGGTGTTTTGGTTAAGGATTTACGGTAAGGGTTAGGGCTTTAGTGTTAGATTCACTTCCCCAGTCGGGGAAACGAACTGCGATTTGACCCCTTTCTGCTTGCATTTTACTACATTTACAGAAATCTGTCAGTTTACACCGCGAACAACGGTGCTGATCAGAAGGCAAGCAAACGTTCTTCGATCGAACTCCCTAGCCTTTTATTTGCCAGTGTTCTTAGTATTACCATCGACTTTCTTCCGCTCAACCCGAAAATTGCCCTGTAGTCAAATTCGACTGCGAGTACTCGTGATGCGTGCAACTAGTATTATTTATCGCGCAACCGCTATTTACAGAGAGCAAATTCTGAACATGACCGAAAAAATCGATGTCAGTAAAGACCTTTCAGGTCTTTAGAAAAAAATATCTTCCTCGATCGCTTACTTAGTGGTGGCGACAGCACTCGGACAACTCCCAACTTCCAAGCCTACCCCAAATTAACTTTCTTAGAAGCTTAAAGACCAGTGGCAAATCATTCTTCCACAACGGCGGGTCGACCGGATGCAAAAATGTGATAAACTTAATGCAATAAATGTACGTAAACTCCTATCTGACGATGTACTTGATGCTGTTTCACAGAACCGCTGACAAGCCGATGCCTGGCTGGAAGCTGTCGAGAGGACATTAGCACTGGTGGTTCTCCATTGTGCACTGAAGCCAGTAATCTCAAGGGCTCCATCACCTGGTAGGTCTCGGTCTTAATCACAGGAATGCTCTGCCTGCGTGCTTGGGGTATCAATGTTGGCTGTTGGGAGGGCGAAGTGTGGAGAGAAGCGCACTCATCAGGCTGAAGTAGCATAAGAGAACAATAGGCGGTTGAAAGTCTAAACGACTTCAGAAGACACATCTGACAGGTAAAAATAGTCAGTATTCTTTCCAGGGTAAACGCCTGTGTGATTCTTATTGTTATCTAGAAATGTTATAGAACAAATGCTCAACACGAAATGCAGCCGGATCCCCTGTGTCAATCGATGAGTCTGGTTTACCTTTGACCTTTGTCACCGTTGGTTCATGCTCACACCTGCCTCGGAGTGGTTTCCGAACATGATTGTCGTGCAACAAAAAAGGAGGATTATGTGGAACGATTTTCGAGGAATATAATACGTGGGACAGAATGCCCCGGTCAGAGGGCTGCAGTGCATTTTATAGCGGGCTTGTGATCTGTTTAGACAAAAAATTGCGTCTCATAAAATGTTAACCAAAATTCCTAAATGTGTTTGCGATTAGAAAGGAATATCTAGATGAGGCAATAATACCGATAATCGTACAGAAGAGTTCCAAGATATTTCAGTCACGTCCGAGTGTTGACTTTAAATAGACTTCCGTTGAGTCGCATTTGATGGGCAGAGACTGATTATGTGGTAGGAATGGTTCCCAAATATTCTTAATACCCTTATAAATGTATACATAACTTATAAAAACATGCACGAAATATCTTTTCCTGAAATCATTTGGCAATACCTCGCGTATTCTTCAAATGTCATGCTCGAAGATAAAGCACTTTCCGGTTTTAAGAAAGTGCTCCAATTTTCGGATAATTTTGAGTCCGATCTACCATTGCATTTGCGCTTACCGTTTAAAAATGCAAGTTGTGGGATTTTTATGTGGGGAAAATCATATACTCCTCTTTAATTTGACGAAGGTCTACATGTATTTCATAAATTTTGTAGTGCGTGTGGTTTATGTTGTATGCTTCATACGGAGCAATAATAGGCAGACAGACACGATGTTATTTGAATGTACATTTCGCAGTCTTTAATAAATTATAAATACAAACTATTTAACACCAAAAAAACTTGTCGTTTGGAGTATGAAATCTGAAGAGGACGCGACCTGCTGCCAACTGAATGCAAGAAAGGATGTATTTGTACATATCTGTCGAAAAATGTACTTGAACTTATAAGTGCATCAAAAATAAGGGGAAAAATCGAATACATACTTCCTAAGCAGTCCTTTGTTTTACCGAATGTGTCCTTCGTAGGCAGTTGGAAAGGCGCACATTCAAAAACTAGACAACAATCAATATTATAACCACATCTAAGCAATTCTTTCTGATAGAGAACACCGTTTAGAATTTCAGCTAAAATTTTATGGGATACGTTGGATATAATCACGTCCGAAAGATGCTCATTATATCAGCCTCCCTTAAAGAGGAAATGGGGGGTTACACGTAACTCACATTATTCCATACATGACCTAATACTAAGAGGTTGTGAGATGTCAATAACAAACCGTGGGCCTCGCAACAATTGGTCGCAATTTGTGGTCACCGAATAAGACCATTTTTGATTTAATCTTTTATTGCACTAGAACTGAAATTGCTGAGGTCGAGAAAGATAAATACTCTCAACGTCGATGTGGGCAATTAAAAGGTATTCCCAACACAGGGTCCCTGTTAGATTTATCTTTTTTAAGCCATAATTTTATAACAAAATCCACCAAAGTATGTTGTCCGGATTATGCGCACACCGCATTACCGCATACATTATTCAAATAGGAAAACTGTGCCCAATTCCACCAACTATCAGTTGGCAGGCTGACTGGTGACACAGGAAATTAAAGAGTTACCTAAGTGGGAGGCTTGGAAATCCATCTTCACGACATATTAACACACCCCTTACTATTATATATCTGATAAGCTCGAATAAATCGTGACGCGCAATCAGTCGTGCCTTGGAGGGCTGACAACCGACGGCATAACTCGGTCCTTCGGTCAAACGGCAATAAGTCCTTCTCAATGCGGCCTTTATGGCATTCCCACCAGTGTAAGTTTCAAGCTGTCCCTTTTGCAACAGAGCGCACATGAAGTGGGAATCAGGTCGTGTGTGGTACGTGTAGACGGTTTGTCTTTCTTTACCAACCATTGCGTTCACGCCCACCTCCGTGACTCCGTCCTGTCACGAGGCTCAGGCAGGTGAGGGGGTGGATTATAACAGATGTTTCCCTAGTCTGCCCTGTATAAACACTCAAATGTATACACTGGAGCAGCATTACCATTAATGGGAAATCTTCGTCGAACCCAGCCGTTAAGTTAATGTGACCACAGCAACTAAGTACCGCCTGAGGGCTTATAGGAGGTTCGTGAGCCCAGGATCAGTGGGAATGCAACAAATCGGCCTTTCTTACGCATGAGCAACATTGTCTTGCGTTATACCTGGTATAAACAGTTGGGTTCATTTTTAACGGTCATGATGCACATGGCTATGACGGAAAACATGCGATTTCATCCAAAGGGCACGTTGGACTCAGATGTTAAAAGTAAGCGAGAGACCAATGGGGAACAGACGATGAATATTCTTAGTCAGCAGTTCTTTATAATAAAGAGAAGGAGGATTGGTGTAGTCGCTTCCGGTTTATTTTGTATCGCAAGCCACGCAAGAAGATAAACTCTCATATGGGATCTCCAGATAAAATAGAGATCCAATCCGACAATCGCTGATGACGATCTTTGCCGTGTGCCCATCGCAGTGGGTGCAGAACCAGTGACTTGAGTGTGAATTAGTCTATAGCGTTGACAGACTTGCGCAGCGTCTGTCTCACTAGCTCCCCACTCACCCGCCCGAGCCCGGTGTCCCAACGGGGTCAGGACGATCGGATAGGAGTCCAGGCGCAGTGGCTGGCAAAGATACAAAGCCCGTCCCCACGTGCCACCCCCGACCCCGGTCTCTATCCGATATATCGGGCTTCCGCAGAACAAAGGGCACGGCGCGGATACAATCTCAGTGAAGTGCCATGAGACCAACCTGAGAAAAAGCCTTTGAACCTGGCTCAGTCCTCGAGCCAGCCACCCCACATACACAAGAAGTACTGACCACCAAAATCGGAGCTATCTCGTCAGTTGGCTGCATTCCAAGTCCTGACATTTAGTACATCATGGCAGTTTCGAATCGCGTTAGATCAAAGAGATGCAGAAGAGTGAAATCTCCCATACTCCTGCTTGCGACCAGCAAACCGTTTTGAGGGCTGCAAGTGTTTAAAGTAGAGGCCATTTGGCTGATTTACCTGTGAGAGAGCCTTTGTGGTGCGGAAAAATGGAGGACCAATCCCGCCGGCCAATGAGTATGTGTTGGATACGCGATGGTGCGAATCGGTCTGCAGGACATTGGGCATGACGTATGGTGAAGGTTGGGAAACTGCAGTCTGACGCATGACCTTTTTGATCGGCTAAAATTAAAATTGAGTTAGCATTTCTGGTTGAAGGTTAAACTATCGTTGGAAGTTCACGTGTTCGCGGCTTACGAGGCGGTTCTGCTAAGCGTACTGTGGTCAGGCAAACTTCCTGGTTTTCATTATAAGACAGGTAGCGACACAATTTTTTCTTTTCTATTAGGATGGAGGAACCTGCTTGTTTGCTTCCTACGCGGTCAATTGAACTTACAGTAGGCGGGCTAACTCATGAAACGTAAGCCGAAATTGCAAAATGCATTTTCGTCTCGAAAAGATTAATTAAGTAGAGTTGGAGAAATAATAATCAAACAGCATAATTCTATAATAATTCAGTTACCCGAGGATGCCAACTTTCGAATGAATTTCTGATCGACAACATGCAAGAACCATACTTTGCAAAAAAAACTACTTAAATAGCATGCCTTTTCCCGTTGATTTTCGATGCCCTTAAAAATTCAATTACATTTCATGGAAAACATGCATAACAATATTAATTCTTTTACTCATTCGGTAGAAAATGACATCGTCCAATTTTATACTCAAAAGGAGGGTATAATTTGGTTTTCAAAAACTTTTCCGATTCCCGCATAATTTTCAACCCAACCTGCCGTTATAATCGCATTTAGGATTTCGAAACTACAAACCAAATATTTTCCAGGTACAAAAAACCACACGTTTCTCTACGGTACTAAGTGGACACCATATGGGGTTCATAGAATTCAGCCGTGGATTTGAGCCATGTCGTTAACTTTACGAGCCACATTGGTAAATGCAGAGACATGACGTTTTATGAACGGCCATTTTACGGTATTAGAAAATCTCACAATTAGAAACTTTTTAAAAATCAAATTATACCATTCCTTCGAGTATAAAATTGGAAGAAGACGTATTTTTCAACCAAATGAGTAAAAGAATGAATATTTTTATGCATGTTTTCCATGAAATATAATTAAATTTTTAAGGCTATCAAAAACCAAGGAAAAAATGCATGCTATTTAAGTAGCCATTTTTTACAAAGTACAGCTTTTGCATGCTGCCGGAAAGACGTTTGTTCGAAAACCGGCACCCTCGGGTAACTGGATTATTATAGATTATGCTGTTTGATGAATAGTTCTCCAACTCCACTTAATTAATCTTTTTGAAAGGAAAGTGCATTTTGGAATTTCGGTTAACATTTCATGAGTTAGCCCACCTACTGTACTTATGTTTGCGAATGGACGCCATTCTTATGCTGAGAACAATCTGCAACCCTTAAGAATCGGCTCTAAATTTGACAACAAGCAGCGGTGCGCACTCGGATGTCTTCTGTCCCACGTTTGGAAAATTTTTATCCTTCCTCTCTGTAACGTCAATTAATAAAGCTGCCTTTCCGACATCTTGGCGTTCTGGACAAATTTTCAGATGATGCTACTGAAGGCTCATTCGACTTGCGTGTCCTCCGGCCATCGTTAACTGGACGAAGTGTGAATTTGGGGAGCCTGCGGTTCTTCGTCTGCAATGCCGAAGAAGCATGACCATGTCCTAGTAAGGCAGTGATGGGTTGGGTCGAAATCAGATTGACCTGGTCGTGACTTGCACGGCATCTAACTCACCATGTAGGATAATTGAGACTAGCGTGGTTGCAGTGACTGACCCGGTATTATTTCCCATCTAGGCGTCCAACAGCCGCTGTGGCTCATAAAACTCCGCAAGCCAGAAGTCATTGGTTTGGCAATGACGACGATTAGGGTCACCAAAAATAGTATTATGGGGAAACCAGAGTAGGCCGACCCATAATCATAGGCTGGATGGAGTTATTCCTCCAGTCCACAACAGTTCAAAGGTGACTCAAATTTCTTATGGGCAGAAAAAACCGCGCAGGCTCTGTCTCATTCTTACGCGGTCAATCTTAATCAAGCTGACTGGAGATAGAAATGGGCGCAGAGTCTGGCATGGGGCGGAACCTTCTCCAGGGCACAAGGTTATTCTGCCAAGACTGGAGTGCAGACATCTGTTGGGCAGTATGTCACGCCACTAATTCGGCAATAAACATCTTTTAGGGCCAAATTCAAGGTTAACGACCACTGAGCACTGAAAATCGCCTATTTTTCTCTAGGCAATTTGTATGACATAGGCCCATCGGGCATACTAAAGGCTGCGTCAAGAGTTCCGTCAGTCTAGAAGTGCGTATATGCTCAGAAAGGGACTACTGCGTAGGTGATTTATAAACACAATTACCCGTATGGGAGAAAATGAGAAAAAAAGTTTAGGGGAGCTGACGTAGCAGGTTTGATCATATTAACCAGAATTTATTTCCACGAATCAGGTAATATTCCCCATTTCATCTGATACGGTCAAGCTGCAGAGTTTAGCGCCCGTCTTAGCCTAGTAGTAAGCGTCTCGTTCATGAAAATGGTCAAACTGACGATATAGTTGCAAGGTCAATTTTTGTTTATCGGTAAAAAAGTTTAGTTTGCCTGGGGCTTTCTGTCCATACGTTGGAAAAAAGCCTAGAGTGACAGTGTGACCAACCCCAGGAGGATGAGTGAGACTGCAATCAAAGCAGCTCGGAGAATCATCTTTTAACTTCTCCCCGGGCAGCCAAATCAAGTTTTTGTGTGCGCACTGGTCGGTAAAACCGGAAAGTTAACATCCGAACTCTTGAAGTCAGGAGAAGGATAGTGTTTTTTGAAAGTTGCTGCCCTCATTTTTCTTTTCATCATGCGATGAAAGACCAGATGCAAACCGCAACATGACAAATGAGTGGATTCACAGAGGAAAATGGGAAACTGCTCGGCCGCATTCTTTCCGGTATTAAGGTCGAAATAGGTAACCACGAAACAAAACACAGAAATCGAGAGACGCAGTTGCCTAACCACCAGACTGCCACTTCAGGCGGAGGGCTATACTGGCTCGTCCACAGAATCCAAAACCTACTACATTCGTTAATTGAAGTACTTTTGAGGTCACGGAGGATTTTACTTCAGAACGCACTACAATTGTGCCATGATTTGACTCATTGACGCAAGCGTCTGAATCTCAAACAAGTTTGAAGCCGAACAGCTCTGCTGCCATCAGATATTTAGGCTGCATCACTAAAAACCCAGTATTGCCATCGCCAGCTGCCCTGGCCTAGCAGCTATTTCGAGAAACCGTAGAAGATGAGATTAAGTTCGGGTGGGGAGGGGACAGCTTTTTGCTAGAGAGGCCTCGATGGCGGCTGTTACAAGTGTCAGTGTGGAAGGGTGGTTGAAGACGCCGAAAGCGCGTGATATCGGTAGGAAGCATGAGACAGCCAGCACCGCACTTCAAGGTCACGCTCTTCAAGAGCGCGCGCAATCGAAGGCGTGGCCGGGTCTTCAAAGAACATAAACACAGTCGTTTGAATCACGGACGCACTGCGGGGGAGCCTAATGTGATGCCTCCCCGGCATGTTGGGACATGCACGCAGCCGACTGCGTTTTCTGCATCATCACGCTCTGGGCGTCAAACGAGTAGATGCCTCCAAGATTGCACTGGAGGGGCGGGTAACCGCAGCAGTATTGGCAATTCGCAGGTGATTCGCGCAACGCCTTTCAGCTGACGAGAGTCCAAGGTCATGCCCTACGAACTCACTGCAATTCCGTATTCCAGCAATGGCGGACACACGTTGGGATTAGCATAGCAACACCGTTCTGAATTATATCAGCTCTCAACCGTGGCCTTATCTGTGATGTAGACTACCAGGAAATAAATGTGGAAACGCGTACTGTCCAATGGTACCATTTTTCGGCACCCCTGAATGGGGGTTTGATCTGGTTAGTCAGCGTGATTTTAACCACTATCACTAGATTAGACACTGTACAAACGCGTTTCGGAGGGGGAACAACAAGTGCATGTCGACCATCACACCACGTGCAACGATCTCTGATGAAGGGGGGAGCCGTGAATATTCATAGATATGCGGTAGCATGGCGACTGCATTCTATAAATACTGAAGCCACTTATGCATGAACCACCCGTATTTGCCTTTATCTCTGATGATGAGTTCAAACAGGAATCCGAAACGTCAGGCCACTAAAGCTCTTGTCCCAACGATCGTGTCTCCTTCTACGAGACTGCTTCTTGGAACTCGTCCCTTTGCATCTATTGGCAATAATAACGTCTTTCCGAATTATATCAGCTCTCAACCGTGGCCCTATCTGTGATGTAGATTACCAGGAAATGAAGTTGGAAACACGTAGTGTCCAATGGCACCATTTTTCAGCACCGCTGATTGAGGGTTTGATCTTATTTGTCAGCGTGATTTTAACCACTTCCACTAGATTAGACACTGTAGAAACGCGTTTCGGAGGGGGAACAACAAGTGCATGTTGCGCTCTTCGTCTGTTCTCCTTGGTCAGACACAGCGCTGTCGGTAAAGGAAGAGTCAGCAGGCGAAATTCTTTCATACTAAGGGAGTCACTCTGTAGATTTTCCATTCCAAACATTGATGGTGGTTTAAAGGCATCGATAAAAAAAGAACGCCGTTGCAGTAGTTGGGACTCGAGTTTAAGGAATTTACTTCGTTTTGGGACACCGATATCAAGATCATATGACATCACCGCAGCGCAACTGTAGTTCTTCGTAGCATAGACGGAAACCCATGCTTTATCACGCCATGACAGCCTAGGGCGATTGTCACTAGTGATTTCCAGACTTCAGACTTCAGAGTCTTTGCCGAGACTAGCTGCATCGGACAAACGGCAGGCGGACCTTTTCTCTCCAGAATAAATATGATCCTCGACACTTTGATGCCTGTCCATTAAAAATGTGCGAATCAGGCATGACTTCGTCGAGTGAACTGTTTTCTCGTGTAGTTCAAGCCTACACTTATGCAATTTCCGTTAAAGAAAGCAATAATTCGAGGATTTTGGTCAGAGTCCTCTATAAATTACTTCAATTAGCCGGTAAGAGGTTGTCGCATCGGTGAAGTTATTATTAAGTCCTTTGTAACCTCAGGCAAACGCACGCTTTCAGGGTGTGATAGCCATTGTGTGAAGTCAAAACCGCAGCTGCACGGCAAAATGAACTGGCCGGACCACCATGCTGCAGCCACGCTTGATCTGTGAATGCCAGTCTCATGGGACGGAAAGGATTAAGTATATGCGCGGGATAAGAAAATGTTAACTTTTGTTTGACGAACCCACCAACGTTTTAACGCTCCTGCTTTACTGACAGACATATGCATTCCATCTTACGATATTTCGAGTATTTTTGAATGCCTGACTGCTCTCCATACCGAATGTTTTTAAGATGAGCTTTCCTCTTACTAAAGAATTAGGTGTGGGAGGGGATGCAGAACAATGAACCAACATAGACATTTCAGCAGCACCGACTCCTTGGAGCCGTACAGGTCAGCGAATGCCATCCTGCCAACGAAAACATCCACCGAACAACGGCCTTCGTGCGCGAAAGCAGTCCCCCGCAGTTTTTCCTTACACCGCGCATATACTTAACCCTTACCCACGAGACTTTGAACTGCCGCAACCCCGGCTGACGGGATGCGATTTGGTGACTCCCTGACAGAGTATTTCACTCACTGACCCAGGAACCGTCACTGGTGTCCTGGTTTGGTTCCCAATCAGGGTCGGGATACAGCCAGACACAATTATCTCAGTCGCTTTCGCCTTGTCGATAAAATTATTCATTTTTCACTTCGACGACTCAGGATGTGGTAGGTGCCCGTATGCGCACAGAAACATAGAAAGACCATTTAGATTATAAAGAGCCGAACCGGTTCCCACTCACTTGGAAGACCTGCGGATGGGCACAGTGCCACGACCTCTCCAGCCGTGGTGGTGTTCTTTGCGTCACCGGGGGATAGCAGATAGAAGCAGACATTGGATGATTTGTCGCTGCCGACTGATCCCTTGCAACAGCGCCACCAATGCTGATCTCCTCCAGGCAGGCCTCGCGCGTTCTTCTCACGAGGGCTTCCTTAGCTTGGACAGTGAGAAATTTGGCAATTTTACTGTTGCCCTTTCTCCAGGCAATGTCGACAGGCGTTTCGTTCTGCCGATTTCTCATCAGTACGGCGGAAGATAGGGGTGGCGGTGGTCTGGGGGAGACGGCGGCGGCGACGGCACGCGCAGGCGATGAACCAAGGACACAGGACAGAACTCGGCTACCAAGACCGGCGCAAGTGTCTGACTCGGCATCCCCCTGTCCCACTGGCGTAACCTGACGCTTATTGGCTTCGGACAGGAGCTGAACAATCACGTTGCGTTTTAAAGCGGCCGCAATATGCAAAGGGGTGTCGTAATTGGCGTTTATGGCGGTAACACTAGCCTTTACGGTCAGGAGGATTCGAACAACGCCGGCGTGACCGTAGCGGGTGGCAGTATGCAGGGGAGTGTCCCCGTACTACAACGGGAGGGGGAGAAAGAGAGAAGGTCAAGGTTAGTGTGAGGGAGTACGGCTGTGGGTTGCGTTTGTGACGATGGCATAGGTTGCGTTACCTTGTTTTTGGCGTTAACGTCCGCACCGAAGCAGAGGAGGATACGTGTTGTCTGCTTGTGGCCGTTCTGGGCCGCCAGGTGGAGAGGTGTGAAGAGTAACTAAAGGAGAAAAAGGAATACCTTGAAGAAAGACGGACAGACAATACTGCGCTAAGAGAGCGGTCGAAGATAAGTGCCGATGCACTCTCGATGATGAGTCCCAGACAGATGGTCTGGCCTTTCGAATTGACGTTAAGAATCCTCATTAGGCAGAAGGTTGAAAATGGAAGCAATCAAAATGCAGCCATGGTAACCATTAAAAGGATAATTCTGTGTTCCCGACTTCCAATCAATATCTCTGTATGCTTGGATCGATGAGGACACTGGCTGTCAAAAGGTGATTTATAAACACTCTATACACCAAACGATCACCAACCAATAAAATAATAGTAATTTGGGTTTTAGACCAAGTCAGAAATGACGTTTTTAATGTTATGGGTTTGATACCTAGGGAGCCTTTTTCATATTAGGCCCAGACAATCACTGGGAATCGTCTGCATCTGTCTACAAACTGACCTAGCTCAAAACAAATGAACGTTAGGTCACGACTCGTTTGTTAACAGGCTGTGACGGATTCGTCCTGAACACTCTGATATATCTTAATGTGCTGAATTCCAAATTCAACCCCTATGTTGACTTATGAAAAGGTATTGAACGACATTAATTCATCTGGTTTTAAAGGTCGTAGCGAGAACAATTCAACTATTTGTGTATAGTTTTAGTGTGATTGATAATGCCAACCGACGGAGCTACCGCAGGGGTTCAAGCGACTGTTTTGAAGCCATTGATGGCCAACCTACCACCAGCATTTAAAGTTAAATAGGTTTCTCTACCATCTGCTCGGCGATTTTTTATTTTCCTCACGAATGCAATCAAAAGTCTGAGCAGTACTGGTTGCTGCGGGACTTTTTTCAAACTTTAAACGGTACAGAAAATTTTGACTGATTAATAGTTTAGCTCAAATTTGATTATTTATAAGTCCGAGAGATATAAATGCGCGAAGTAGGCCAGGTGATCCACAAATGCTGAAGTACAATGAAAAATTGTCAATTTAAAATTGCAGTAAAAAAACATCATACTCTTCTGCATGTCAGCTCATTCAGGCACGTCACGTGACAAATGAACTCCCAAAAATGTTCCTTTAGAAAGAAGAGCTGAGTTCAAGGCACATGAAATCACATGGTAGGACTCCCATTAACTCCAGTCGCACGATAAGTGTATTTGTTTTCACGGACTCTGATCGGTCCCTGACTCTTCCTTCGAAACTTAAATACAAAGATTACCATTTTGGGTGTTAACCTCGAGAAAGTAAGGAATTACAAAGTTCACACATGAATGCATCATTATCCGAAATAAGTTCAAAATGAAAGTCAGAGAGGTGATCAAACACAAAAAGCAGACATTTCTGGCTTATTTGACGTGTCCGAGCGAAAATCGTGGTGTTCATACTGCAGGCAAGATAGATTGGTGAATGCGAATTCCATGGCGAACCTGCAGCTTATGTGACAAAGTGTTTGGCTCAGAGAGGCTAACACTCGTGGGTTTTCACCGCTTGTGAGGGTCCCAGGCCCCGGTGTTCCCCACTTTTCATTCTCTATCAAGCACAGATTGTTAAACATCACTCCCATGAGAGAGTGCGAATTTTAAGAGAAAAGTATACGAATTCCAATATAGCAGGTAGCAGCATATGAAGCAGAGTCAACCACCTAATGCGTCATGGGAAGGTAGAAAGATTGCAAGAAAATACGAAAGGCCTATCAAACGAACCTTATTCTGGAGATTTGGCGAAGCCCGTGAGAGACAGAGAGCCTCGACAGAACGAGAAAAGCCCTTAACGGCAGCTTCATGCAGAGGACTGTTCCCATTCTGAATTCAAAGCAAAATGGTTGGAGTACAGTGAGATAATTTTAAAAAAGTGTCGGTAAAATCGCTTTCAAGGTTACTCGCAATCTGAGGACAAATTACTAACAAGAAATCCAAAGCTCCTCACAAGATTCATATATATATATATATGCGCACCTTTTAGTAATTGAATGTGACTTTATATATACACATATACATATGCATATATATGTATAATTTAGGAAGACTTTAAGAGACCAGGTTTCTTCGCCAATTTATATAAATCAGTGAATCTGAGTCGGATGGTTTTATCACTTATTTCGAACTTACCAAATGTTCCTGAACATTGGGTTCTGCACGATGCAATAGCAAAAAGAAGATAGACTCCGTGTGACCACCTAAGGCTGCATAGTTTAAAGCCGAGCATCCGGTCTGAAAAAAAGCATTTAGACTATTATTATTAACCTTTAGGGGAAGATATTGAATATGAAGATTGCCACTTCTGAATTGATAAGGAGGACGCTACGCACGTATTCCTGTAAGTCCGCTGCACGCCATTTGAAGGCAAGTGTATTACTGTTCTTACATGCGAAATGCTGCGTAGTTAGTAATATTTCTACAGGAATTTGAATCTCGGCTGGATCACATAAGTAAGAGGTAGTTAATAAAAAAATGACCAAGCAAGATCTTTAACGCGCTTTTCGCCAGGACTATTTGTCCTACACTCAAAAGAGGTTTGCCCCTAAACCTCTATAGAAGAATTACTTAGACTAAAACGAAATTTTATTTCGGGCCATTAAGGAGCTGTTGGGTGTTGCCATACTAGCTCGTATATAGGACAGGACACTGGCTGGAATTCAGTCTAAATGGAGGTCTTTCGGCTGCAAAATCTAAAGAAACGTCTATCTGAATGTGACAGACTGACCAGTATCACAGGGTTTAAACTTGCATAGTAAAAAAACCGAAAAATTGTGGCTGAAATAGATTTTCCTTTATACCTCGTCTTTGCGATTAATCTCAAACCCCATCATGGTATTCATTAACACCTTCATTGACGCTGTGTTTCCACATGCAGCCGCCAGATAGAAGAGTTGATATATCTAAAGGATAAAAACAGCGTCTAAGAGGAACAAGCATATAAATAAAGTATTTGAACTAAATGGACAAAAGGAAGTTCAAGGTTCAAGCTTGACACTGCGCAGGGTTAGAGCTCAGAGTTACAGTGTATCAACATTCATTAGGAAGAAAGTACCATACTAACAAAAGATAAGGTTGTAATTCTGTGCAACATGCCTCAACATTTACTAAAAGAGCTTAAATTTGAACAACATGTGATATTTTTAATGGCGATAATTTTTGTCACAATTCGAAATTCGGCAAGTTTATATCTGTCGGCCAAACAGGTGTCCATACCTGCAATTCACCTATCTGAAACTTCTTAGAAAGGATTGTCGAGAGCTTTTTCGTGTCGTTGTTAAAGGCGGCCTTGATAAGGCTCCAGCCTTCTGATTCCTTCATGTATCGCACCATGTGGCTTCCTCACTGAACTGATGAAACTTTGAAGAAGGTAACCTATAAAATGAGGGAATAATATGAGGAAAATCTGGATTTAGGGGTTTAAGAAGTTCATTTATTACACAAACGTTTTATAAAAAACGTTTAAGTCATTGATAGTGTTCCCGACCTTGTCCTAATATACGTTCGTTGAATTATTCCAGATTTAGATGTTTGTATACTGGGAACTCAGGAGGGCAAAGGAGCCTGCTGTGCCAGACACCAACGACTTTTTTTCCCAAGTTTTATTTTTTTTCCGTCGCGAGCGACGGAAAAAAATAAAACTTGGGAAAAACGAAGATCTTCGTTGTATAGGGAGTTGATCCCGATGAAGTTGTCGCGAAAAAACTCTGATAGTACTGACCACTTTATCCTCTAATATAGCCAGAGATCGAATTAACTTTTTAAAACGTTATTTGGAAGGACAAGCATTTTAAGCCTTGCATCACGACTCCGTACGAACTTTATGAAGTTCTAGCATTTCGTGTCGGTAGGGGTGTGTCTCACGCCAAACATAACCTCGATTATACGATTTAATAAAGAAAGAAATATTAATCAGAATACCCCTAATAATATATAATAATGCGACTTTGCGTATATTGACGATATTCGGTATATATTAGGCAATATATACTTAATATTAAGCAAGGATTTTATTACAAATACGTTAGGAAAATGGCCACCTGGTGAAAACTCGGATGAATTTATATAAAACTATAATTTATATATATTTGTAAGAATGAGAGGGATGCTACCTTATTTGCCAGAATATAACAATTATAATTCTGTCTCGTCAAAAATTTATGACAATGTTTATCGATGTCACAGCAGACTAAAATTATCTTTTTAGTATTTCAAATGCAATGAACATCCGTGACGAATTTCAGGAAACCCATTAATAGAGTCATCAAGCCCTGCAATGTTCCCCATTGGTTGTTTACGCTGTTAGCTCACATAAACCCTGCCTGAACTACGCGCGATTGCCAAAAAATTGAGGTCGCGCACCTTCATTCGCATGTGAACACACTAAAACAATGCCCGTTAATCGTTTCCCTGTTGGCGTAAAATTTATATTAGATTATCAGCATCGAACATTTCACTGTATTCGTGCTAACGTCTTTAAGGGTAGGAAGCAGCAAGCGGCTGTTAGGACAAGCAAAACCGATGAGCATATTTCGAATGATGGCATAGACGTCGTTTTGTTACATATGGTGAAGTAAAAGCAAACGAATAAGAATGACTTACTCCTGAGTCTTGACATCAATTTCACGCGGTTGTTGACGGTACTATAATAGGGTAAATAAGAACTATCTGATGAGCTATTACTTAAGTTGGCGGCATATTTCCGTGTTCCGAAAATGTACATAAACGCATGATCTAAGCAATCACTGAATTATGTACGTGAAACTAGGATTTCAGAGTGATAACTACGTTACTCCTGTATTTGGCTGGTTCTTCGATACTTTAAAATGATGGCATTATATCGAGATTGGTCTTTATATTCAGTAGCAGCCGCTTGTCGCTCTGAGTTCATTAGCATACATAAGTTGGCTTAACTGCCCTACGACATACTGCAGATAATCGCCATAAATTAGCAACCCAACTGACGTATTTTCTTGATTGAATACGTGAGAGACTCTGAGTCTGTAAGCTTTGATGATCTTCATGAACTTTTTTCTGACTGCACCATTTACACTAACCCCAATGATTTTCTTTGGAGCTTATTTTCTCAAGGGTCCTGCTGAAAATCAAATATGCAGACCTGCGTCGTCCATGCTGTTCACTTTCTTGCACAGGATTTGTCTAAAAACGTTAATAAAATAATTTTGGACGAGACTTCGGTGATTTCCTCTGAACAGACTGCATGTAGCAAACATTCAACAGTAACGTAATAAATGAAAGTGCTGTTTGCACGGGTAGGGTAAATGTAATTGCTCCCATTAAATCAGTAGTACGCGAAACGGCGTCATAGAATTAATAGAGGACCTCCGCTGACATTACGTCATCTTGTTGTTTATGTCGCACTTAACATCTATTTGCAGATTAGAGAGGAGAAAATGTGTTATGCGAGTTAAAACCTACACCGAAATAATTATTCTGATTGCTAGCAAACGCTGGTTAACCGTTCTCCTTGACTAGGTGGATTACCTAAACAAAAACCAAATGATCCCGAACGATCGAGTGTTCTGCAAAATAGGCGACGCGTCTCGTCTAAAGTCACAACAAGGGCAAGTGAAGAAAAATCTGGCCCGACTACCGAAGAATAAAGTCCTCGATACCACAGAAGTAGATATGGCGCAATTATACAGCAGGTAACCTATGTGGTTAAAAGTGTCGGGGTTTATGAATGATTGTTAATCCCTCGCAAACCGGCATACATGTAAAGACTCAATGTGTACATTAGTAAAAACACACTAAGTGGATTGAAAAAGCAGCCGAACTATAAAATGTGTCCTTATTTTGACAAGAAATGCCAATTTTTCGAGAAATGAAAAATTCCGAAGCCGCCAAAAATTGCTCTATTGAGCAAATAACATTTTTAGATGTAAGGAATGCGTATCAGGCAAAAAACTGTGTAAATATGCAGTATAAATAGAATAAGTTATAACAATGTCGTTTTAGTGAAGCCTATATCCAAAACTCCTTCAAGAATTAGTTTGGCGTCAGGTATGGTGGTTCGCCAACAGCCTGCATTGTGAAAATAAATTCCAGAACGGTTTCCCGAGAATTCGTTGTACTTTTTGGTTTACATTAATTTCAAATGCGACTCACTAAGCCATTCAAAAATTGCCCAATTTCACCGATGGGGATATCATAGGGATATAGTTTGCACTACTGCCTCCAAAAAATTTACAAGCCAGACTATGCCCTGTGGCCAGTCGACCCAGTATGAGGAACTTCCATGAGCGAACTTGCAAACTGGTTGTCACAGGAGTTGGTGTTTTTAGCGTGTGCTCACAAACGACAATACATTTCATATTAACCCAGCTGTGAAAAACTCGGCGCCTCGGTGGGATTCGAACCCACGCAGTAAGGGGGCAGGCTTTAGTACAGCCAGCGCTCTAACCACCTGAGCTACGAGGCCCCGCCGGACGACGCGAGTTTTATCACACATTACTTAGGAAATCCTGCTTGGGCAGTTAACTTACTGTATCAGATTTGGTGGATTGCAGACGTTGCAGTAGGTTGGGCGGGTAACTTGACCCAAGTGTGATAAAACTCGCGTCGTCCGGCGGGGCCTCGTAGCTCAGGTGGTCAGAGCGTTGGCTGTACTAAAGCCTTCCCCCTTACTGCGTGCGTTCGAATCCCACCGAGGCGCCGAGTTTTTCACAGTTGGGTCAATATGAATTATGCAAAATCTGCCAAAATATCAAAGGCAATACATTTAACATACCAACTCCTCGACCAAATAAAGGCGGCCACATTTGGACTGGATAAGAGTATATGTCAGTATATGCCACCTTACTCCACACGCCCATACCAGCGAGTTCTTTAGGTCAAAACACTCAGTGATCTGCTGTGCCAGAATTGCGATGAGGATAGTGGTCAGCCTTCAGCTGGGGATCATATCGAACCCATGGGCACTGCCTCGTGACACTTTTCAACTTCGAAAAAAACCACATACAGGAAAATTAAGTGCAGTCCGATGGTTTTGTCAATCTTTGGGCTCGTTGCCGAAGCGGTTCTTCAAAAACTAGAGGTGCTACTTTTCGAGGACTACAAACCCCAAGTTTCGGGTACGCTATGCCGAAGACAACTTCATCACTATCGACCGGGATAGGACTTCATACTACAAAAACGACTGGACCCGATCATTGCCGATCTACAGTTCGCGATAGAAGACGAAGTGCAGGACAAACTACCGTTCTTAAATGTTCTCGTCTGCCTCCAATGGGAGGGCAAACCGGTGACGTTAGTTAACAGAAAATCAGCGAATACGCCTCAAATGCTCAATTGCAGCAGCGACCACTCCCGCGACGAAAATGAAATTGTGTACGTTCGGCAGCATGACGGATGGCAAATCATTGTAACACTCCAGCCGCCAAACAGGAAGAGACAAATGATCTTCGACAGCACTTCCTAGACAATGGCTATCTACGGGCATTCGGTGTGATGAGTCGAATGTGAAAAGCGAAGCGGAACCAAGAGCGCTGGCGGTCGTAACCGCGCCGGAACATTTCGTATATGAAGGGGGTCTCAGAATTTCTCAAGCCGCCCGGAATGAGAGCAGACCACAGGCTGGCATGTGAGGCGGCCAAAGGGCAACACCTACAGTCAGGGCAAGTCGGACTTTATATACCGACTTCAATGTAGCTCGGGGATGTGCCACTACGCTGGAGAGATCGGCAACGGCAAAAAATGATTGCATGAGAAGGTTGGGTACAAAGTTGCAAGAGACAACTCATGCCATGCATCTTCACACTTGGCGGCGTCGATATTGTGACCAAGGCGATGATCATACATCAAGACAGGCGCACTAGGCCCATGGGCTCGCCTACTGATCAGTCAACCCCCCACTAATTTGCCTTTACCCTATTTTGTTCTGCCAACCTTAGTGAAAGGAGACAGTAGAGGCGTGAGCAATCAGTGCCCCAAATTTTTTTGCGTTTAACGAGGGCAAAAGCAATACAAGTCATGGTGAATCGTGGGTCCGTGGCAGCCTCCCAGCTGGAAATGGCCAACCAAACACCAAGTAATGTGCGCCATATAAAGTACGTGCGCATGATTTTCCAGGCTCGGAAGGTGCGTAGTCACAAGCGCCCGAAACGAAGACTTCCACTATATCCAACCCTGTGGAATCTACTTCTTCTAAATAGAGTCCCAATGCGTAACATGACAAGCGCCCTCTTGCACAGTTAATATCCTCGATCGCATCCGAGATGACAACGACCCCGTGACTCACTCAACAGAGCCTTGGACTTCTAGACAGGAGAACGCGCGTTCGAACCTGAGTGATTGTAAAC